TACCAAACAAATGATATCAGTATCAAAATTCATCTTTGCAATGCAGAGGAAACACAGAAGCTGCATGGGATGAATTTCCCACACAGAGGGACATGAATGCATTTAACCTGCAGTTACAAATGCATAAATAATATTTTGTTATTTTAAACATAAAACATTGAAAACTGATATTTAAAATTATTTTAAAAACAAAAAGATACTTTAAATGTGAAATTAAAACCGCCAGCAGGTGGCAGCAAGTCACTGTTAAGAAGTGAGTCATTGCGATTGAACCGAATAATTTAAACGGTTGATTCATTCAGGAACGAATCGCCGTCATGTTGCACAGAGACGCAAAACAGCGCTGTGGCTGTTTGGAATCCACTATAATTTCATAAATAATACTGGTTTTGTGTTACGGAATGTAGTTTTAAGTTTTTTTTAGGCGAAAATGTAGTTGTTTAGATTTCAAATATGCGGTTTGTTAATAAAGATAACACCTATTTCAAATTTGCTTCGACGTTTTTCAAATTCAATTTTTTAACCTTCTATTCATCAAATAAAACTATACAATATAGCACGGTTTACACAATAATGTTAAGCACAAAATTGTTTTCAACATAATAAATATGATAATATTTATAATGATAATAATATGAAAAAAACTGTACACGGAATGTGACAATGTCCCTGTCTCCCTAGGACTGCAAAATAAATTACTGTGGACTGTAGCCAACTGATAGTGGTTGACCGATATTGTTTTTTTGACAGCAGATGCCGATATCTTAGAGAGCAGGGTGCCGCATACATCATACAGGATACAAATGCACACTTTATAAGATCTCACTTTATAAGGTTTGTGAAATTAAATGTTTATTAGACATTCAAAAGATCTGCTTAAATGATATAAAAGCGTATTTGCTGAATGCTGATGGTAAACGAGCAAGTATTATGTTTGCCTTTCTATTACTAATAATATAAAAGCAATCATTATAATACTTTTTTGGATACCTTTTAATTCCTTTGTTTAACATTCTATCTGATTATTAGACAGACTTCTATCCCTATTAGAAAGAACAGGTAAACTGTGACAACAAACAATGAATAGGGAGAATGTGAGCACTGTGCTCAGGTGCTGCCGTTCTCAGCGCTGTCAAAATAAAAGTCCCGCCTCGAACACATCGGCCAAACAGAAAAACTTTTCGGCCGATGACGATATTTGAAAGATGTCAAATATCAGCCGATATATCAGCCTTGAAAATATATCGGTTGCCCACTAATTAAGTCTAACGAAATGGAACAAATATTTTAGAAAGGTAGTTTTTGTAATGGTTATGAAGTAATGTATTAAAGGGATAATTCACCCAAAAATAAAAATTATTTCATCATTATTTGCCCTCAAGTTGTTCCAAACCTGCATGAGTTTCTTTGTTCTGCTGAACATAAAAGAAGATTTTTTGAAGTATTTATGGTATCCAAACAGTTTTTGATCCCTATTGCTTTCCATAGAATAAAAAAATATATACTATGGAAGTTAACAGGTACCATAAAGTTCCAAACTCATTGGTTTGGACCAACTTGAGGGTAAGCAAATGATGACAGAATTTAAATTTTTGGATGAACTGTCCCTTTAAATTAACCTTTTTTTTTAATTTACTAGCCAATCAACACCACCCATCAGTCGACTCTAGTATGGTTTTAAACTTGTGTGAGCCATCAGATGTGTTTAATATTGTATAGATCTCTGTTCCTAGAGCAGGTGGAACAGTATGTTCTTCCCCGTACTGTCCATCACACTGGACATCATTTTCTCCGGCACTGATCTTCACAGCTTCCTCAGTCAAATCAACCATTTCACCTGAAGCCACCCAGGAGAAACAGCAGCACAGAGACTCCAATCGTCTGCTTATGCAGTTTACATCACAGCCAGACACTTACTGACTGACCCTATGTCACATTCATTAATGGGGAAATCACATTTCAGCAAAGTTTTGAACTTGAGAAAGGGGAAGCGTGCATTATTGTCCGTTTAAAACAAAATTACCCCGTTTTAAGTGTTTTAGCTGGAAGACAGGAGGCTTGTAAATGCCTAACAAGGTCTATAAAAAGTGCACATCAACAAAGAAAAAGCGCAAATGGGATGCAAACTTCCCCTGAATGACAATCCAAGGTCTCATCACAGCAAACAGTAATTTAAGAGCATCTTCCCACATAAAACAAGAAAGAAAAGACAGCGCATCATCTCAAGCCAAGTACCCCATTCATGACCAGAGTTCTTGATGCCATTACGAGAGTTTAGCAAGTTAAATAAGCTACAAACTGGATTACAAGTGAGGCAGCTTTAGGTGCATATGACAGAGAAATATGAATTCATAAATATTTATGCTTTTCAAGTGATTTTTCAAAAACTGGACAGAACCGATGAAGACATCAGCATATTAAATTAGCTGAGATAAAACAGGCTTCCCATATAAAGCATTAGAAAAAATACAAAGATGTGTGTAGGTGGCACATGCGGACCATAAGGATGTGGAGATGCATTTTAAAGTGGTCTGGCATTTACAAGAAATGTTATTTGGAACAATAAATGGACACAAACAGATGTAATAAACAACTATAACTATGTTAAGATGCACAGTGCCATGTATATTTTATGTATTTATTGATTTATACACTACACAAAAATAAAAAACAATCAATTACATTTAGGAAAACTTTGCTATGCAATTAAATTAAGGCTTTCTGGGCAAAAAAAAATTATTCGTTTGACCAGTCTGCACCACCATTCAGTGTTTCTTTGAAAAAACTGCTCTATTTTAAGAGGCCGTTCATACAGAATGCGCTTTTCCAGTCCAATGTACTACTTTCCATAGTTTTTCTATGTAAACACTCAAGACGGATGTGTGTGACTTAGGGCTGCACGATTATGACAAAAATCATAATTGTCGATTATTCCCTTGAAATTGTAATTGCGATTATTAATTACGATTATCACAATTTACATTGAATGATGTTTATACCATTGTTTGATGCAACTGCATGCTGTATTTTATATGAAAATAAACAAGCTGAAAACACTTAACTGAAAAACTTTTAGTGCTTTTCTATAGAAATTAAGCCTCAAATGTCAACTAAACATCGGATTGGTTTCTTCTTTAAATGATAAAAAAAAGTAAAAATATGAATGGTATTATAGTGTTATACTAAAACTAAAATTAAAACAATGGAAAAACCCTTAAGATAACATGTAGAAAGAAAAAAACGCATCTTAAGCACACAGAATAACATAAGTGGACTTTGAACGATTAATTGCCGTTTTGAACGATTACGTAATTGTGGCATCCATAATTGTAATCGCGATTAGAAATTCGATTAATTGTGCAGCCCTAGTGTGACTGTTGTGCTCGTATCTCGCAAATTTTGCAGCATGTTGCACATGTATGCCACGTTTTTAAGACACCGTGGCAAATTAAAACAATTTCAACTTTTACATGCAACGGCGTTCATCAATGTCAGTCATCAATTCATCAATGTCCAAAACAATGGACCAGTCAGAAGATCCGGAGGCGGGGCAAGTGTTACAAGCTTTTGTTTACAGTAACAAGTTGGCATGGCAAAAGTTTTATTTGATGGCAACATGGTGAAGCAAGCATTCTGCAGTGCGCTTTTTTATAAATATATTTCTGAGTGCTGCGTCTCATATTTTCAGATGCAAAGATGCATTCTGTGTGAACAGCCTTGCCTTACCTTACATTATATTACTAAGTTGCATATTTTTTTAGATATTTCTCTAATTCAAACAGGTTTTACCAAACAATGGCTATAAGTTTTATATTTATTTTGTATTATGTATTATTATTTATTATATAAGAGTGTGTGTGTGTGTGTGTAATTACATTTTTCTATATATTTATTTTTCCTTTTGCTTATTTTTGCAAATATAGCTGTAAATAGTCTTAAAGGTAAGGTAGGTGATTTCAGCAATATCAAGCTAGCTTTGAAAGCATAAGATCCCACCCTCCTGCAGATCACTCTCCAAAGCCACACCTCCTCCAAAACACATGAACGTGCACAGACAGACCAGAGGCTAACCTGCGACACGATGAAAGACGGCATTGGTGGAGGGTTTAATGTAACACTGTCTCATTCCCCGGTGAGAAAACATTACAGTACAAAGCGCATAATAGGGCTGCACGATAAATCGCATGCGATATTTAACGCGCATCTTGTCAGTAAAGCCATTCTGTAATCAGCGGTAAATCTCCATCACGTGCGTGCTTTCACATTGAGCAGCATTAACTACACAGAGCCGTTGTTCACAGACGAGCTGCGCAAAAAGCGGTAAATCTCCATCACGTGCGTGCTTTCACATTGAGCAGCATTAACTACACAGATCCGTTGTTCACTGACGAGCTGCGCAAAACCATGTTCATATTCGCGCGATTTTTTGCGCAGCTCATCTGTGAACAACGGCTCTGTGTAGTTAATGCTGCTCAATGTGAAAGCACTCACGTGATGGAGATTTACCGCTGATTACAGAACCGGCTTTCTGACAAGATGCGCGTTAAATATCGCATGCGATTTATCGTGCAGCCCTAGCGCATAATATTACAATAATAACGCCTTCCATTCTCGCTCGATCTGCAATAGCGTAATGCAACGCGCTAATGACGTATCATGTCTAATAACACTGCATACTGCTAATATTGCATAGAATAAAATGAAGTTGTGACAAAATCTTTACAGATTGTGTTGCAGTAGCTCATTTAATTAACTCAAAAATCAATTTTCTATTAATCTTATTATTATAAAGAATTTAATTGAATTGAAAGCAAACACAATCCATGTTAATTACCTCCTTGTTGCTGTGTTGTATAAAAATGCATAAAAAAATTTAATGCATTTATCTTGCAATGAAAAATTCATTGTGAGGTTATAGGATTGCTATAATATAAATATACACTTCAGATATTGTGATGTACGTAATTTCCATCCTTTACGACAAGCCGAGCAAAACTCACCTTAACGGTTTGGTCCAGGGATGCGGTGGCAACACGGGCTTGTGGTCCCATCAGGCCACAGTGGATGTCGGTGATGGGGAGGGAGTGGCGGGAAAGAATGTGACACGGTTCTGGTGTGCGGGACGAATCCAACTGAACAACGCTGAAACACAACACACAATTTTTCATTACCTTGCCGTTATGAAGTCTTTATTATAAACGACACGCTCAGGACAACAATAATTAATCAGGAGAGCCATCAATTCTATCACATATTACTTGTGTGATGATGAGTTAATTAAAAATTGATGAATGTGAAATAATAAAATATAATACACTGGGTGTAAGTGAAATATTAAGATTGATATTCATTTTCTCTCTATACAAAAATCAATGGCAAGCTTGTGCCTTGACCTTGAAAGTATTACTTTATAAGATTCAATGATTCTAGATATCACACCACATCCTATACTGTGCCTTTCTGTAGAGGATTATATATACATATATATTTTTGTTTGTTTGGATGTCAACATCTGGAAAAATATCAAACAAGTCATTAAGAAGCAATGCAAATGATTTACTGTAAAATGCAAAGAAAAAATGTGCAATCATTTAGTAAGTTAATAAAATAGCAGCAATAATAATTATTTTTACATAAATGATTCACATATATTATGTATATATAAAATTGGTTGCAAATATTGATTAGATCACATATAGATTATTAGACACATTAAAATAGTCCAAATTGAGAAGAAAAAAGAATGTATCAAATGTCAAATATACATAGTCTCATGGATTGATGACAGAAATGGTTTTTGGTCATTTTTCATTCTTTAGCTTTTTATTGGATGATGTACATCACATCATGTGTATTTAAATGATATCTAACCTCTAATGTCTCATACACATCTCTTGCTCTCTGCTCCTGACACCCACTATTCTTGCAAAAAAAATGTTTTAATGAAATTCATTATTCTTACTGTAAAAGAATCTCACACACTCTCATGCTTTAAATAAAATACATAAACAATAACATTTTAGTGACATTTTATGATTTACAGCTTTTGTGTTTTTAATTGAAATTTAAAATATTTTATTTAGAAAAACTTGCAAATGTCTGTCTTTAACAACTCACATACATCATATACAAACAATTAATCAGCATGTTAATTAGAGTTTATTATGGTTTTATGTTTTAATACTGATTTTTGCTTCATTATTTTAAAGTGTATAATAATATGCAGAAACATTTTTATTACATAATACACAATATACATCATATATGTGAATAATTTATTCAAAAATAATTATTGCTTTTATGCCATTAACTTTATACAAAGCACTTTTGCTAAATTATTTATTTTCATATTCGATTTCACAATTTGCCATATCCCTTAATTGTGCTAAAACAAGCTCCGTTTACTTGAAAAAATGTTGGAAATCAATTGTACTTATTTCTATATCTCCATTGCTTAAAATGGAAGAATAAATCCATGTTGAAAATAACTTTTGCCGTACAAAATGTAACAGTATTTAATGAATTAACACAGTAATCTAACTATAAAATATGAAAAAACATTAGTAAACATTCTAGAATATATTAACTGAAACTGACATGTTAAACTTAATATTACTTAATTTATTCAGGAAGAGTTTGATTTCTTCACTTTTAGCTGATTACTTGAATTTTCCCTTTAAGTTTGCATTAAAAATAACTATAAATAAATAAATAACTACAACTTGTGTAGAGTCACACTGCTAATGACTGTTGCATATGTCTGGCCAAATGATCAGCCTCAAGAAAAAGACTGAATGAGAGAGATGCGGAGACGAGAAGGAGATCCAGATGGAAACACAAGGGCAGATAAAGTGAGACGAGACAGAATTGAACCCCATTCTGTCAGCACCGCTGCATGACGCGGCACCGCTGGGCGAGCTCAGGGGCCGACCTGTCTTAAACAACATCTGTCATACACATCTGCGTTTTTATGTCTGAGAGAGTGAGGATCATTTCTGATTTGTGCTCAATTTTACACTTGCATTATTTGAGTTTCCTAGTTCTGGGTGAGCGTCCATGTCTCTCCTTCTGTCCACAGTTCACTTCTGCTGTGTTCATGTGAGTTATCACAGCAGTCTAAAGTTCTTCAAACTTCTGGATTCACAAAATTAATCAGGGTTAATTAATGTATTATATCAATACTCCTTGTTTCGTTTAATTACAACAACTGAATACAGGAAGCTTTGTTGTGACCATAATGGGGAACGATGGGGCTTCTTTGGTCAAAAAGGTCAAAAAGAATCACTGGTCTCATGTCAAAAGTGTCCACACCTGATCCTGGTCTCTATACATACAGTTTTATCAGAACCCCAGAAAAGGTTAAAAAAAAAAAAAAAGTGACTTTTGGGTCAAAATGTGACCCACTGTGACTTTTAGGACAACATATACCACTATAAAATCATTAAGACAGCATAATGGCATTTATATGCACGTCACACCTCTGTTCATCAATTTGCACTGGCTACCAGTAGCTGCTTGCATTAAAATCAAGGCATTAATGTTTGCCTACAAAACCACCACTGGCTCTGCACCCCTTTACCTAAATTCATTACTTCAGAGTTATGTGCCCTCTAGAAGCTTGCGTTCTGCAAGTGAACGTCGCTTTATTGGGCATCCCAAAGAGGCACAAAATCACTTTCACTGACTTTTACATTAACTGTTCCCTCCTGGTGGAACGACCTGCCCAACTCAATCTGAGCAGCTGAGTCCTTAACCATCTTCAAGAATCGGCTAAAAACACATCTCTTCCATCTTTATTTGACCCTCTAATTCTAGCACTCTCTATTCTTTATTAAAAAAAAAGTGCCCCTTTATTTTTAACAATGCATTGTTACATTTGCCACAAATACCTTTTACATTTTTTGTTTACAATTTTTCTTTAAAAAAAAAAAAAAATCACAACAAGCTGAAAATTATATATGCTGAAAAAAACTGGTGCAGGATTTACTTAGAAATTATTTTACTCAGAAATTGCTAGTAAATTTCACAAATGTTTACAAAGAAATGGCAAGTAATAAGTTGAACATAAAATTTTTAAGCAGAAAGACTGAAATAGTAGGCCTATTTTCTTGTAAAATATGCTCCTTTTATTAATAACCTTTTTTGACTCGATTGTTATGAAGAGATCAAAAATACTCAGTTATATAAACTCCGTTATTAACTGGAGGTTTTCCATAAAAATATGTATATTTTGGTATGTATCGTTATAAATCCATAACCGTCAAAAGTTTGGAATCATTCAGAATTTATAATGTTTTTGAACAGTTTTTTTTCCCGTTTTTAATGCTTCTGCTTTCCAAGGCTGCGTTTATTTGATCAAAAATACAATAAAACAGAAATATTATAATAATTTACAATAACTGTTTTCTATTTTTATACATTACATTATCACGTAATATATTTAATAAATTTCAAATGTTGCAAAACATTTATATTTCAAATTAATGCTGTTTATCATTAATGTTGAAAACGGTTGTGCTGCTTAATATTTTTGTGGAATCTGTGATACATTTTTTCAGCATTCTTTGAGAAAAAAAAGTGTTTAAGAAATGTTTCAGCAAATCAACATATTAGAATGATTTCTGAAGGATCATGTGACACTGAAGACTGGAGTAATGATGCTGAAAATTCACATCACAGGAATAAATCACGAATCACGAAAATTGAAAAAAGTACATTTAAATTGTAATAACATTTCACAATATGAATATGTTTATAAGAAATATTTATGAAAGATCCTTTGTACCTGCTGTGATTGGATTTATTAATCAAAAGGTTATGTGATTTAAGTATGGTGGTTTTTATTTGTGTTTTGTGGCATGTGTTTTGTGTCTGGTATTGGCATGGTCAAAGACTAATTTCAACCATGGTTGATAATAAAAATACATTGCATTGTATTGTATTGTATTGTAATTTGTATTGTTTTTAAATGTATTTTTGATCAAATAAATGCAGCCTTGGTGAGCATAAGAGACTTTTTAAGAGATTTTCTGATATAATTACAGAAGACTATGGTTAATGAAAACAAAGAGACTTTGTTGTGACTGACTGGCCACGTAAGAGTTTTTGGTTTGACATAAAAGCTTTGCGCATCTCTCTGGCAGAAGGTGTGTCCACTGCAATTAGTCTCCGCTCTCGCTCTGTCCTGCATCCGTCAGTGAGTCTGTGTCCCCCTCTCTCACTTTAGATTCCCCTCGTTATTCACAGTTCTTCATTCTTCATGCTGCGCTGCGCTTAGCGTCGCTCGCTCAGCAGCAAGGTCACAGTCAACACTAACAGGCACGATTCAACTTACAGCAGAAACCCGAGTGCAGAACAGGGGCGATGTTTACGGGCAAACACGATTAAGCTGGTGACAACATGCGGTAAAGGAATCAATAAGAGCCCAGACTGGTGTTGCTAAGAATAAACGTAAATACACCCGGCAAACAACAAAACGTGATCCAAACAAAGTCATGTACTTCCAGAGGTGCATACGCCAGCTAAACAACTACCATTGCGATAGGAGAAGCTCTTCTCTGTTATTAGGATCAATGACAATTAAAGGGTTAGCTCACCCAAAATGAAAATTCTGTCATTAATTACTCACCCTCATGTCGTTTCAAACCCGTAAGACCTTCTTTCATCTTCGGAACACACATTAAGATATTTTTAATGAAATGCGAGAGCTTTCTGACACTCCATAGACAGCAATGCAACTAACACGTTCAAGGACGAGACAGGTAGTAAGGACATCCTTAAAATAACCCATGTGACATCAGTGGTTCAACTGTAATTTTATGAAGCTACGAAAATACCTTTTGTGGACAAAGAAAACAAAAATAATGACTTTATTCAACAATTTATCTTCTTCCTTGTCAGTATTCGACACATGTTCATGAGAGTACCACAATGCATGCTCTCGGATTTCATCAAAAATATCTTAATTTGTGTTCCGAAGACGAACGAAGGTCTTACGGGTTTGGAATGACATGAGGGTGAGTAATTCATGACAGAACTTTTAATTTTTGGGTGAACTATCCCTTTAAGAATGTCCACAATTTAAAAAAAAACACAAAAAAACATGAGCCAAGTATTCAAATTTGCTTCATATTTATCATTTT